GCGTATATAGATCACTTCCGGCACTTGCGTAAACTACGCCAGAACCGGATGCCCCCAAAGACAGTTGGACATAGTGGTGTATTAGAGGTAAAAAATGATATAAATACTGTTCGTACTGTTCGGCAAACCGATCGTTTCGTGTCTAACACATTCATAGTCATTATTTTTTCCGGTGCTTTGCAGCAAGCTTTATGTGTGCGCTTGAGCGCAGAATAGAATATACATTAAAGGTCCCCCAAATATATATTTAAGTGAATATATTCATATAAACATGCAATTAGTTGACTAATTGCTTAAATGAACGACTTTAGTCTGCCCTATTTCGCAGAGAGTGTTTTCCAGAAGCAACTTCTTCCCCATGCAAAATCGCCTTCATGATTAAATAGCGCCATCATGTGTCTTAAATAACATCTATAGACATATCAACATTTTCTTCATAAAAATGGTTACTCCCTCTACTCCTTGAAGTAAAGGATGAGAAAAAAACAGTTTAGGATGTTCCTGATCATTTAAATGGGTCTCCTGAAGTAAATCAATACATGTCCCTTCCTTTTTTAGATCAAAACCTTCCGCCTCTTAACAGGTATATGAATACCATCAACATTCCATGTACAAATGCTCAAATTTGACATCCTCGTTGTATGTTACGCCTGTTTCACGCCGCAAGCTTGAGCTTTACGTCAGCGTAACTACAGTGTCATTGCAGCTGCACACTCGCGGGAGTATTCATACTGGAAGTGTTTGTACAGCGTCACAGCAGCGGCTCCAAAACTATATATTTCTTTACAAAGACAACTATAAATTTGTTTTTCTCACGTTAAACTTTCATGTAAATGGTAAACAACAAAAACAGCTCCGATCATGTTCTTTCAGTCATACTTTTAAACAGAATGTGTTGTTTTTAATGTTTTTTTTTTTTTTCATATTAAACCATACTTTCACCCAAACTGAATAATTAAAAACAAGTTTAAATGGATAAATCTTCTATACACATTTTTGATTCTTCATTTTCTTTTCTGATGTATTCCAATTCTTGTTAAAACACACTAGACATGCTTATTCTGTTTTTTTTTTTAGCACTTTTTGTGTGAAATCATATTTATTTTGTTCAAACGTGTGCTGTCACTATGTGTATATATATATATTTCAATTAAAGAGAACATATTAGATTTAATATGGGCTGCTTTTGGTGTTTGACACTTTTATTTGTAATTTTGTGTTTCAAGGATAAGGTCCAAGGTTAAGAATACATTAGAAGTTACTTTAAAATAACTTTGTGTATTTTAATGATGTATTTTATTAATTTCTTTCTTTTTTTAATTTTTGTATTTTATATGAAGCAAATTGGTATTGACATTTTATTGTAACAGCAAAATAATTCAGTGTCCCCTAATAACAAACGTCCTTGGGTACCTGTAATGATGCTGAAAAGTCAATAAATCAATACCTAAAAGTAAAATGTTTTTCTCTATTTAACATTACAATAGTGAAAGACGACTTCCCTTATTGATCACGTCTTCCCTCAGGTAGATTAGCCTACATGTTTTCTTGCGCGGCTGGATGTTGGAGTCGTGAAAAATAATCATGTTGTTTGCATTCACCAAAACAGATTTGCTGAAAACAAAAAAACACTGACGGTGATGGTAATTTGCGTTAGCGTGAGTCCTGCTCGTTGTGAAGCGGGAGCGACCAGTTGACAGAGTATTCCGCTTTGTCTTAAAGGGATAGTTCACCCAAATATGAAAAGTTGATGTTTATCGGCTTACCCCCAGGGCATCCAAGATGTAGGTGACTTTGTTTCTTCAGTAGAACACATGATGATTTTTAACTCCAACTGTTGATTAGCCGTCGTACCTACAATGACTGTGCACTGTGTAAACAATGAGTAACGTATACGCGTATATAGATCACTTCCGGCACTTGCGTAAACTACGCCAGAGCGCGTACACACCTCACGCACCGGATGCCGTGCGCGCGCCCAAAGACAGTTGGACATAGTGGTGTATTAGAGGTAAAAAATGATATAAATACTGTTCGGATTCTGGCACAAACCGATCGTTTCGTGTCTTAGGACAGCGGTTCTCAATGCCAGTCCTCGTGTACCCCTGCTCTGCACATTTTGTATGTTTCTCTTATTGCTTCAAACGTTTGTTATATTTGACTGTAAGTGCCCTGCGAAGTGGACATTACCGGATATTCCGCCATGATTCCAGTTTGAAGGGAGCTCCTATGTTCCAGACAAAGGGCATTTAAATGTGCGAGACGTGAATTTAAATTGTATTTATTTACAGAGGTATATTATGTCCCACTTCACGCTTCTCTAGTAAGTTTCGTATGTCAGGCTTTCTGTTGTAACATCGCGCAAGGTAAATAAGGGTGACATCTAGTGGAGAAGACTAATGATAAGATTCACGTTAATCAGATCTTATTTTAATCGCGTTAGAAGAGAGGTGTAGCCACAATCACTTTAATAACTTTAATAAGCAGTTTCTGCCTTTTCCAGAAGAGGGCTGTGTCTTTACAACAACAAACAAAACATCTACATGTGTTTTAAAGCCTTGTCAGTTTAAACTCCTGATACATGGTTTTCTAACCGCACACACATGAAGTGGAAGCACAGAAAGCCGACTATCAAACGGCACATCACTTGAGTATTAAACCAAGTTCTCTTACGCGCATGGCCGGACTTACCATTGGGCTTGAGTGGGCTGTAGCCCATGGGCCCCGCCTGCCCGTTTACGTTTGTTTGATTTGTTCGTTATATGCCAGTCAGAATTTAGAAATTATTAGCCGCATTTCCACTGCTCATGCAAGATCTGAACGGGCCAGCCGGGTTTACAGCTTACAACTACGACCCTTCGAGGCCACAATCAAACAGCATAAACTAGTATTTATGATTATTTCACATAGAAGAAGGACACACGTATTGAATCGCGTCTGCACCGATTGGTTTATCACATGGCTACTTTAAACCGCTCCATTAAGCCTTTAGCCCTAAAGAAGAGCGCACATTTAGAAAGATAATGATAAATTCTCAAATGTTCACACCATTTCTTTACAGAGGATGATTCTATATTACTATATTAATATTCCACTAAATTATGCGATCATCTGATGAGTTTTGAGCGCTCTCTCTCGTCTTACTGCCATTACACATAGTGGGGAAGAAATGTCATCAAAATGATTTTAAATGAAAAATAGCAATTTATTTGATAGTGATTTCAGTTGATTGTTAATAGCCAGCATGTCTTTTTATTCGATTGAATTTGATTAAATAAGAACCTGACATAACTTTTATAATACTAATAAGCCAACATCTCTGGCTTTTTTTTGTTTTTTTTGCTCAAAGTTATTTCAGGGTTTTGATCTCTCAGCTGAGAGAACACATCCTGTTTATTATATTTTAATATTTAATATTACATTTAAACTTTGACTATAGCCTAGACATGTTGCATATTAATTGTAGTATTTATGAACCTCAAAGCATATGTTTGTGTATTTTGTGTTACTCCATAATGATGTTCTATTTGAGGGCATTCATTGTGTAGGAATAGGGCCCAAACGTAACCTCAAGCCCAAGGGCCCCCGCCCCCCTAAGTCCTGCCCTGTGTATGCATATATAAATGACCCCAAACAAGTTAAAAAACGTTTTAAACATGCATCCGAAGACCTCATGCATTCTGTTTAGCCGTTTCTGAAGTGGGGAAGAAATGTCATCAAAATGATTTTAAATGAAAAATAGCAATTTATTGAGTGTCTGTTTTTATAACATAGGCTAAGTCCTATATCATAGGCATAGCTATCACACAAACAAGAGTCCTGTTTTTTTTTTATATATATATATATATATATAAAGAATATCTGCACGATCGCAAATGTACAATAAACAACAACTTACAGAGTAACTTTGTATTTATGAACCTCAAAGCATATGTTTGTGCATTTTGTGTTACTCCATAATGATGTTCTATTTGAGGGCATTTGTAGTGTAGGTATAGGGCCCAAACATAACCTCAAGCCCAGGGGCCCCCGTCCCCCTAAGTCCTGCCCTGCTTACACGTCAAATGTCAGATACACACAGGGTTATGTTTAAAAGCACAGAAAAAAACACAAGTTCACGTAATGTTGGTTATGTCTGTGAATGTGAACAACTGGGGAAGAAATCACATGTGTATCAGTATATTAGATCTGTGAAGCAGAGTCTCTTGGTCATGCTGACAACACACTACTAACGCAACTCAACCAGGCCTTAGACGGCAATTGTTTAAATTTGGGATATTGTGAGGTGCACGTTTCCGAAGAAAATTTAGGACTACCACTGAGGCGTTTGAGGGAGTTTGGAAACCGTGCTTACTGAAATAGAGAATAACTTTTTTTGAGTGACTGTCTGCTTTGTAACAAACGGCAACATTACACATTAAACAAAGTTGAAGTGTAAAAAGCATAAAAGGACCTCTTTAAACATAAATGGTGTTACATATGTTGGCTATTTGTATCATTGTTTAGTTCTGCTGTTCTCTCTTGCTTCTGTGAATGCATTGTTTTCAGGTTTGGTTAATCTGGGAATTGTAATATTCCACCTGCCAGTGATGTTTTAACCACCGTGATGGGTCATTTCAAAGTTATAACAAACATCTGCTGCTTCCTCCCCTGACAAGGTTTTTTTTTTTTTTTTTTTTTATCATTACATGGAATTACTGTGTGATGTATTTTTAGTTTGATGGTTGAGTTTCTTTGTTTCTTTATTTTTTGCATCTTAACCTCTAGAAGATTTAGTAAAAGGGTGATTAAAATCAGTCTTTATTTAAATAGAGGGTTTAAATGCCAGCTTGATAGTTTCTGAGACACGTCCTAAAGAAAGAAAGTTAGCACTATTGAGAAGGGGTTCTCAGATTACACGTAACGCCTCATTTGCTTAATGGGCATAGGATCTAGTTGTATGTTGGTTTCGACACTTTACATGTCTGAATGTTTTATTTGTCTTTTTTTGCCTTAGACATGATGGTGCTGAAAGAGGAGAGTCAAGAACTGAATGAAATGGAAGAGAAAGATCATCATGGTGTAACTGGAGAAAAATCTTTTAGTTGCTCACAGGCTGAAAAGACTTCCTCAAGAAAAAAGGCTCAAAAGATAGAAAGTAGTAGTTATTTCTCCTGCCAACAGTGTGGAAAGTGTTTCAGTCAAAAAGCAGGTATTAAAAGACACATGAAAGTTCACACAGGAGAGAAGCCTTATGCCTGCCATCAGTGTGGAAAGCATTTCAGTCAAAAAGTAACTCTTAAAGCACACGTTAGAATTCACAATGGAGAGAAGCCTTACACGTGTCCTCAGTGTGGAAAGAGTTTCACTCAACTTGGAAACCTTGGAGTCCACATGAGTGTTCACACTGGAGAGAAGCCTTACAAATGCCAACAGTGTGGAAGAAGTTTCAATCAGAAAAGAAACCTTAATTGCCACATGACAGTTCACACTGGAGAGATAATTTTAATCTGCCAACAGTGTGGAACAAGTTTCACTCACAAAGGAAGCTTTAACAGACACATGAGAATTCACAATGTAGTGCAGGCTTACACATGCTCTCAGTGTGGAAAGAGTTTTGATCAACATGAAAACCTTAAAGTCCATATGAGAACTCATAGAGAGAAAACCTACACATGTTCTGAGTGTGGAAAGAGTTTCCGTCAAAAACGGCACTTTGAAGACCACATGAGAATTCACTCTGGAGAGCAACCCTACACGTGTCCTCAGTGCGGAAAGAGTTTCAATTACAAACAACACTTTGAAGACCACATAAGAACTCACACTGGAAAGAAGCCTTTCACATGCCAACAATGTGGAAAAAGTTACAACCGAAAAGGAAGCCTTAACAGGCACATGAGAACTCACACTGGAGAGAAGCCTTTCACATGCCAACAATGTGGAAAAAGTTACAACCGAAAAGGAAGCCTTAACAGGCACATGAGAACTCACACTGGAGAGAAGCCTTTCACATGCCAACAATGTGGAAGAAGTTTTAACCGAAAAGGAACCCTTAACAGGCACATGAGAACTCACACAGGAGAGAAGCCGTTTACATGTGGTCACTGTGGAAAGAGTTTCAGATATAAAGCAGCCCTTAAGTACCACATGAGTTTTCACATATGAAAGAACTGTATTTTATGTCATCAGTGTGGAATTGTGGAAAGTCTCACAGACAGGAAACATCTTAGGAATCATGTAATTGCAGAGAGAAGCCTTTACTGTGCTAACACTGTGGAAAGACTTGCAGAAACAAGCCAATCGTGTTCAAAATACCTGATCAGCGGATTTAGACCTTGTTTACACCTGGGTTTAAAATGTGTTTTGGTTGATCAGATCACAAATACTCCATATCACCGTCTCTTGTCCACTTTCGGCCACTTCTGTCCCCATTTTTTCAAGGGGAGGGCCAATGGGTGGGTAAATGCATGGGATTTTTCAGATCTTTTGATCAAATGCTATAAAATACGTTCTCACAATATACATATAAACGCAAAATAAGGCAATGGAAAAAGATAAGGAGAGCAGCAGCTTTCGTTTCTTCTCTGATAGCTGCAAAACCACACCAAACGCTGTGTTTGCATGTTAGAATTGAGGATTGGTGGAGAACATTGTGCTTGGTAAGTTTGATTAATATGTAAATATGTGCTGCATGTTTTCCTTTCATTAACAAAATAAATGTGATAAAACGTACTCTGTTACTAACGTAACATCGGTTCCCTGAGATACGGGAACGAGTGCTGCGTCGCTAGACGCTTATGGGGGAAAACTCCTTTTTTATCGATAACTGAAGCCTTTTTCAATAACGCAGAGTAACGGCACGGCCATTGGTTCGTACAGTGAAATAAAAAAACAAACCAATGGAGAGATAGTGGAGCTGTACGAGCCTATGGCCACGAAGCCCGCCAGAGCCCTACAGAATGGGCAGGGCCATCTGGCTATATTAGCCCAGCCGGCCGCTGCACAGATGTCTGCTATGGACACACCGCTAGACCACGAGATAGTATTTAAGACACTCTCTGGGAGGTTTGTAGGTTCCCATCGAGAGCCCATAGGTGCAGAGCCCACAGCTCGGACTGGGGGTGCCAAATCGTCCTGTTCGCCCTGGGGGTCCTTGGCGACTGGAAGCAGTTGCAGAGCTTGAGCGCTTGGGTAAGAAGTTTCGCATCGCCTGGGATGACTTCTGCACGGCGGTGAAGTGCTCTGCAAAGGCCTCGACAACAGGTCCGAAAAGCCCCGTGGGGGAGACTGAAGAGTCGAGGAAGGGAACCTTGTCTGCCTCCTTGATCTTGAGTCAGGTTTAGCCATAAGTGGTGCTCCAGCACCACTAGACTGGCCATTGACCTGTCGATGGCCTGTACTGTTGTCTTTGTGGCTCGTAGGACCAGGTTTGTCATGCCGCACAGCTCTTTGAAAGCCGTGGGGTCGGGTCTGGACTCGTCCATGCAGCGAAGGAGTTTGGCCTGAAAAGACCTGGAGTACGGCCATAGAGTGAAGCCCAGAGGCCGCCTGGCCAGCCGAGGAGTAGGCACGTCCAGCGAGGGCTAAAGTAATCCTACACTGCTTGGATGTGTGTGAGACCTTAGCCTTCCATCCGATGGCAGTGGGTGGGCAGAGGTGCGCGGCCACTGATTCATCCAGCGGAGGCAGCTTCTTGTAGCCCTTCTCTTCAGCACCGTTGACAAAGGTGAGGGCAGATGAAGCAGACGTACGGAAGCAAGCTGAGTAGGGAGCATGCCACGATTTTGTGAGTTCGTCATGGACCTCCAGGAAGAATGGAGAGGCTTGCTGAAGAGGGGCCTAGCGGCGCCCCGGCAGGAACCATTCGTCCAGATGACTACGACGCAAGCTCGGCATCCATCCCTGTTTTGGCATCGCTGGGATCCGTAGAGGGCAAGGGGGCGGTGTCGATCGTTGAGCCCAACAACTCCTCCGCCTCTGAGGCTGCTAGAGACATGCTGTCATCAAGTCACTCGTGCTAGCAGAGGGACACTGGTCTGGGTGAGAAAAGAAAATGGGAGAGTCATCTCTGTTTGGCAAGAGTGAGGCACGCGGGGCTTGAGCCTGCATGAGCTCACTCGCAGCTGGGCGCCGAGTCCCTCTGCCCCACTGTTTTTTCCTCACAGGCTCCTGGGAAGAATAAAACAGGAGGGCGCGAAGGGCGGAGTCGCTCTCTGAAAAGAAAGCGATCCGAGCACGCAGAGAGGTGAGACTCGTGTTCTCACAATGAGAACACTTCAACTCAGTGAGAGCGGCTTCTGTGTGGGACTTACCCAGACAAGAAATTAACACGGAGTGGCTGTCATCAGCGTGCATGGAATTCCTTCCTTCGAGTGGCTTCAAGTCTCGTAGATCAGCAAAGAGATGATCATCATCGCTTCAGTCGAATTAATCTGAGGATCCTATGTCAGAATGCCCAATTATATGGCCAGATGTCCCCGCCCATTCTGGTGGGCTCTGGCCAGTACGAGTAAAGTATCGATAGGGAACAGCATTTGTGAGCGCATCATAGCATTGTGGATATTGTAACATTGCTAACTCTGTTTCCTGATTTTTTTTCATGAGGTAATTTTGCTACACACCTCTAGGGGGCGCTTATGTGCCTTATTCCCAGGTATAAGTCGATTTATAGAAGAGATGAGTTGACAAGTGACTTCCGGTTCCCATCCATCACATACTCTTTGAGTAGGTACTTAATTTCAATAAGTACACCCTTAACAAGCTCTAAAAGAGTACATACTATATATGTGAATACTATATAGCTGAATGAGTGAAGTATAAATGCGTTCCGGACATCATCCGCTATGTTGACATTATTATGTGACTTACGACATTATAACAAGCGCAACCATTTAAAAGATATGAGCGACCGGTTCAATTCATCTATCTGTAAATATCTTGAAATTGATTAAACTTGCTTATCTTGTGGTCTTGTTGAAGATACAGCTTTCCATTTATTTTGTGATTGTAGTATAACCAATACATTTTGATTTTTAATTTTGGTTGATTTAAGTTCTTATATTTTGAACCCTATTAATGTGACCCACAGTTTAATCCTTAAGGATTTTTCTTTTTTTATTACGAAAACCCAACATTTTTATCTCTTGAATATGTTGTTCAATTTTGCACATAAAAAAAAAAAAAATTTCATTCACAAGCAAAAGTCTCCTTTGTGTTTTCCTCTTGAATTTGACTCTTGTTTCATCCCTCTGGCTTATAAATAATAATAAAAAGCAATTTTTTTATGCATTACGACAAATTATTCAAAAATATTTAGCCATGTCATTGTGCTGTCAGTGGCAAAACAGAATATACAGTTTTGTGGGACTTGATTAAACATCTGCTCACACTGTCTCATGGACAAGGGGTAGTGAAACGAGGATACTTTATCAATCAAGATATGCTTGTTGAAAACCTTAAAGAGAGGTCTCTGGTAGCACTGCGCATGGTCCAGGATGCAATGGCAGAACATCCATTGGATGAAGTCCTGCTTAGAGGTCCCATACTACACTGTAAAGGAGCAAGGATGAGATCTATGCAGTACTTGGAGGATGAAAAGGAAAAGAAAAGTCCAAACGGCCAATGAAAGGAAAAGACCTGCACCAAGATATTGCAAATGTCAATGCAAAACAACCAAAATTAATGCACTGCATTGAAATGCAAAAAGAGGCAGATGAAATGGCAGTCAGGGCAGAAAGAAAGCATGACTTCACCTTATTGTCAAAGTCAAATGCCTATCGAAAAGTGTTGCGGAGAAAAGAGAGGAGCTAGCAGCTCTAGACCAAAGTATCTCCAGAAGTCTTAAAAATAAGAATACATTACTGAATCTGTGATCCATGTCTTTTATTCCCGTCATAATGAAATTTGAAACACCAACAATTCAACAGTTTACTCAACAGTAGTTAATGTACAGTATTACATGGAAAGTCAAAGTAAATTGGACTAAAAATGTGCAGTAACCCTGGAACTGCTTTTAATCTCAAGTCAGTCCTGTTAATAACATCTTGTGGCCTTGAGAAAGAGATGCAACTCCTGTGACATAAGATCTTATGGCAATCAGGGTTTTATTGTGGCTTTGGATTGTGGGGGAAAAAAATCAATTAAATCAATCCATTGTCTGAGCAAACATGAAACATTTAGCAAGCTTTAACTTTGACTGTAGTATTTTCTGCTCCTATCAATTAACATCTTAACATGTTTTTTTTTTCAGTTGGGATGGCACATGTTTCAGTGTCTCTGCAATGTAGCACTCTGCATCCTTCTCTCCAAGATCGGACTTGCATTTCATGACAGGATCTGGAACAAAACAGAAATCACAAATAATATTCAAGTACCATTTATTTATGTACTCAAATGTACTTTATCAGTATCCATATTACTTTCATTGTAAGTTTGTTAAATGTATTTAACTTACAGACGGATCTTATTAACTTGACTCCATGTGTTTTAAACACATATTTTGTCTTTTCTGATACACTAAAGTAGATGCTCATATTTTCCACACAAAAAAAGTGCACAGTGATTCACACTTTTAAATGGCTTAACATTCTGCAACGCTTCCCTTGTTTTATGAAAGCAATACAGTATTGAATGGCACAAGGGCAAGTAAATGATGACACTTTTAATATAAAAAAAAGGGTTAATCCCTTATAAGATCACTATGATAATCATTGCAACTTTGAAAGTAATTCCACATTTATATGCAGGTGACATTCCCAAAATGTTGCTGCATGTATGTGCCCATAGGTCCCAGGGTTCCTACGCATTTTGGAAAAGTATGGCATTTGATTTTAGTATTTTCCAGGTCTGGTAAACAACCTAATCAAGATCTTCCTAAGCATACTACAGTAGAAATGTCCAGGCAGGTGTGTTGAGGCAAGTTGGAGCTAAACTCTGCAGGACACTGGCCCTCCAGGACTGAGTTTGGACACCCCTGCGATTAGCCAATCACAAACACATCTGACTGGCCATTGCATTCACGTGCTCAATAAACATGTCTAAGTTAGTGAGAACGTTTTTTTTTTTTACACTTTGCTTCAGAGTTCTGCACGCTCATGAATTCTTCCATTATAACCCACAAAATGTAAAGGGAGTTTTCACAAGAGTGTAAAATGTTTAAATCCAGAACTGAATCCAAAATTACGATTATTGTCACGATAACCATAACAACAGATGGGACAAAAAAAAAAAACACTTGTGACTAATAGACTCTATATAACGAGTTTCTCAACATTTCACTTAACCTTCTTAAAGCAATGTTTATATAATTGAAATATATTTATGTAAGGCTACATGTTGTGTTAATGTATTATGTATTATTATTAGGGCCCGAGCACCGATGGTGTGAGGACCCTATTGGAATTGCTCCGTTTCTTATTATTTAGGGCCCAAGCCAGAAAGGCGCAGGGCCCTATTGATCCCCTAAGGATTTTTTATTTTTTATTTTTTTTTCAACCTTCCGGGGCTTTTTGGGGGCCTTAACATATTCAAAAACTCTTGAAAATTTGCACACGCGTTGGAACCTGCGGCCATTAGGACGCCGCAGAGGCTGGGACCCGGGCGTGGCACAGGGGCTCTACGGCGCCCCCTGGAACACAGCCGAAAAACTTGATGTATA